TCCCTTTCCCTCCTGCTCTCGCTCAATCTCACTCTCTCTCTTTCCCTGTCGGTCGATCTCTCCCTCTCCCTCTATCCTCTCTCGCTCTCCCTTTCGATCTGTCTTTTTTTTTTTGGACAAATTACAAACACCCCCCTCGAGGTTTGGTGAAAATATAGATTCCCCCTGAGGTTTGAAAAATTACATCCCGCCCCCTGAGGTTTATATTTTCATAACAAATTGCCCCTGAGGTTTTATTTTCATACAATTCCCCCTAATTTCTTCCTAATTGTAATTTGAATACTTAATTGACCTTCATGAGGGCAATTTGTAATTTCTCAAACCTCAGGGGGAATCTGTATTTTTACCAAAGCTTGAGGGGTGTTTGTAATTTGCCCTTTTTTTTTTTTGAACCAGTCCAGTCCCTTTCGATCTGTCTGGACTAGACACATTTTTTTTTTAAATAAATAAACTTATTAATAAATAAATGAACTTTGTAAATTCCCCCCCCTCCCCCTTAATTTGAATTACATTATGGTTGTTATGGGTGATGCTATATTGTTGAACTTTTGCTTTAAGTTTTATTTTTATGTATGCTACATTACTAAAAATTGTAAAAATAATATTTTGTATGAACGTATCTCTGCCGTACCCGTATCCTAGTTTTTCAAATTTTGTCGTATCACCGTATCCGTATCGTATCGTACCTGTATCCCGTATCCCGTATCCATGCTCCTAGGTTGCTCATCTATGACCTGGGCTTAAAAAAAATAAAAAATTTGAATAATAAGCAAAAGAATCAATAAATAGTATGAAATTTAATTAAAAAGTAAATGAAAAAATAAATTGAAGAAAAATCAACTCACCACAAAAATTATCAAAAGTTTGTTTTTTGTGTTGGTGTATGTGAGTGAAAATAAACCAGAAAAAAAAAAAAGAAGCGAAGAAACAGGGAAATCCAAAATGAGAGGAGAGGAACTTCTGAGACTAATAGGCAGTAGGATTGAGCTTCAAGTATTCCTTGAGAGCTTTTCTTTATCAACTGATGATGCAAGCAAATTCACATAAAGTAAATACATGGTTATTCAAATGATAGCAAACAAATAAAATACCAAAAAATAAACTGTAAGGCAAAAAAATAAACAATCGATCACAACTTAGAGCACAATTGTTTGGGTAAATATGGGGAAAACCCTTTTCTTGAAAAATTAAATAAATATAATGGGCATAGACATAGGTCTATTTTTTTTTTTACCAAGAATTATAAACAGAGTTAATATACCTTTCATTGTTCTAGGATAGAGATAGAGATTCCTTTTCTACAGTTCATGCTCCATTAGGTGGTGAAAATGAAGCTCTATTAAGCTTAGTGGCCTTAATGATTCAAAACAGAATCTAAGATCAAAAACATAATATTTTGCTTGAGAGGGTTGTGCTGGAGTTGATGCACGCAATTTTGAGGATGAAGAATATGCCAGAATGGCGGTCCTCTTTGCCAGTGGCACATCATCTTCATCCTCTTAGGTAATGTTTGGTTCAATGGAATGAATGGAATGGAATGATCATTCAATCAAATTGTCTATTTCCATGCTTGGTTGACTAAAAAATTAATGAAAAATACATTTATAAATAGAATCGTCATTCACCATTGTAAGAGAATGATCATTCTATAAGAGAGCCTACGAATAATCATTCCATTCCATTCCATCTCATTTTCTATTAACTAAATGGCGCATTACGTTTTTGTGGTATTCATCACTAATTTTAGGGTTTTACTTTGAGAAAGTGTGAGCGTGATGATGGGTATTGGGAGGGGGAGAAGAGGAATCTGAGATGAAGAAGATGATTCGTGTACCTGGATTTCAAAAATTTGAAACTCAAAATTGTATCTGAAGGCAGATAGTAAGAGTGTTTGACAAAATGGACCTTTGGATCTAGAATAGAACTAATCAAGCAATCCAAGCCGTTGACTCAAAATATATTTCTAGCCATAGGATTGAATAAATCCAGATTGTCAAAAGTGATAGGTAGGACAAATGTCTTTTTCAAGATTCCAAAACTGAGCTTCTAGCCATTGGATTGAATAAATCCTGATTGTCAAAAGTGACAGGTACGACTCAAACAAATTTGTCGTGTGGGTACTAGTAAATAAAATTTTATGGGCATTTATAATGTTACAATCAAACTTTTTTTGTGTGAATTAAGAGCTCGCCTAGGGCTCCCAATAACTTAGGGCCAGCCCTGCTCGCAAGTTCCTATAGCTCTGTTTAACAAAGTTCTCCTGCATTGCCAGTAATTAGAAAATGAAGAAAGGAGTGCACCCTCAGATGCAATGGATATCCTATGTTACCCAGAGTGGCCGATTGATGCATGTTATGATGACCAAGATACACCAAGTTGGTAAAGTTTTATCACTTTAGAGCAAGGCGGCAGATGGCTCAAAGTGTTGGCAGATTGCCAAGTTTAAGCGGCGTTATGAACAGAAGGAAGAGGGAAAATGAAGGAAAAGTAACTTCTTTTAAAATGGTTGGGGTGCACTGTTAGATTCCTTTATTTTCATATTTGGGATTAGCCATTAAATAATTTTTCTTATTATATATATTGATAACCTGCTGGGTACTCGGGGACACATCTGTTCATCTGTTTAATCAGCTGATTGCTGTTATTTTCAGAAATATTTTTTATTTTGATGAATCAAGAGGGTACACTTGCAGTTGAATGATGATTACGCTTTGATTGCTGTGTTTAGTAGTTAGCTAAATGAAATTATTTAGTGCTACATCAATTGTAGCCCCATGGTCTCTCTCTTAGTTTCACAGGTTATTTTGTACCTGTATTATTATTATTTATTATCAAGAAGTCTAGGAGCAAGAGGATGGAACACAGATTAGAGCACAAGAAACTGTGCATCCGGTTGCTGGAACAACCGCCCGGACGACTGGCCAGAGCTTGTCGATTGCAGCTGTCATGGTGTCTTCCGGTCGTCCGGGCAGTGTCCGGTGAACAGTTTGTGTGTTTGGTTTCTGTGTTCCATCCTCTGTGTTTGTAGCATTGCTCTACTATTATTGATAACATTGTTACATACTTGAACGCATATAAACAAAATCTTTTTGACTTGTTTCTTAATTGATTTTTCAATTTGAGAAGTTTCATATTCTTAACAATTTATAGGAACCCAGGGGCAGTAATATAAGTCATGTGGCAGTGGATTTTTTTAAATTTATTTTTATTCTTTTTGGTTATGAGGAAAGCAAAAGAAGAAATGTGGTGGGAAAACAGGGACACTCTGTACTGTTCATCTGTGTTCCCATGTTCAGTTGCTATGATATTGTTATCTAGCTTGTTTAGGAGATCTTCTGAGATTTAGATCAACCCTCTCCTACTGCATGCTGCTTTTTCCAATAGATCTGTCACTCTGCTTCATTTTCTCTCTGACAAACAAATCTTGATTATTATTTCTCGCTGCTTCATGTTCGGACAAGATGCTTTTTGCCTTTCTTTTTTCTGTTCAGTTATTGATTACCAAATCTAAGGTTATTCAAGTATTGCATGAATTATTCACTTCAAGTTTTCAGTGGTTTGGTTAACCTAACAGGTTATCACCAAGGCGTGCTGTATGTATGTAGTCTGGTTTTGAAGGATATTCGGACTGAAATGACTAATTTTGTTTCTGGCTCTCTTGAGGAACTGATTCCTCGATTGATTGACTTTTTAAGTCAAAATAAAAGGATTAACAAACTTGGAACTGAAAATATACTTCTGCTGTTCATACGAAAGTCTGATCCGATGACCTCAAAAAATTGACGTTGGCATTGATTTGTTTTTTCAGTAGTACATATATTGATTTTTGTTTGGATAGTTGAAGTTTGATTTCAAGGACCTCAGAGGATCGATCTCACCAATTTTCATCTCCACTGCCGCAATAAGTCAAATTATTTCAGTATTTTTTATTGATATAGCATGTTCCAACACGTGCATAATGATGCGGTCTCACATTTGTAGTGGTTTTAGGTTGCTGTTAAGAGTAAGTACAGTGAATAATTTATTTAGTTCAAATTTCATCTAATGATGGTTCATCGTATTATTGTCAAGGAAAATTCAAAGGAAATACAGCGTATCAAGGTAGTCTCAAATGATGTTTTCATATTAGGGAGCTTCATTCTATTTTGTTCCCTCAATTGTAAGCCTTTTTGTTCCCATTTTGTTGTAAAAAATTCTCAAAAATAGATACTCAGCAATTGGCCCTGCAAATGCTCAGAGACGGAAGAGATCTATTTCTTTTAAATGTTTCGGTAATTTATACATCAAAACTCAACAGTTAATGAACGGCCCTCTCGTGAATCGTTACCTCTCTACATTACTACATTAGAGAAGCAGCTGAAACAGACATCCAGTTTTTCAGTGCTCTTCCTCTCTATTCAGGGCTTGAAGATATTTTAGGCAATCTTGCTCCCAAACTCGAACAGTGGGAAGAGAGACGAATTTTAAAGTGGTAGGCTTGGTCGTACATCAAACCAATACGTGTGCGTGCTTCCGTAGGCCAGCAGGTTTAGCTTCAATGCGAGTCGCCAAATCCAATCAAAGAAGATAAAAGTGAAATTTTATGCACCCAAACCCAAACAAACTTGATCTATTAAAACCAAAATAGACAATTAACCAGTACAGTAGGCAAGTTTTGATTGGCATTAGTAATTACAGCGGAATGCTAAATGCATTCATGTCGTATAAATATGCTTAGTTATCTCACACACAAAAAACAATACAGTACATGCAATTTATGTTGTCAAATGCTTTAATTGTTATGTCCACGTTCTCATGGGACTTGGTTGTTTCTTCCAGGCTTCAGTCTGGGAATAAATTCTTACCTAGCTCCCGAGTATCAAAAGTTAATACAAGGAAAAGAATCCACAATGCAATGACAGATCCCAAGTTTATTAAAGAAGCACTGAGAGAGAGAGAGATGTCTTTAATTCCTGCTTCCATTTTGATATTAGAGGGTGTCTTTTGGAAAAATGGTAAAAAGTCAGCTTTTTTTAGCAAAAAACGATCAATATTTTTTATCCAAAAAACAACCCAGCTTTTTACCAAACTTCTCCAAAACACCACAGAGTGAGCTATAAACACCTTGGGCGTACCACAGGAGATGAAATTTATCTTAAGCCAGTATTCATAAAATGGTTGGAGTTACTAATTGATGTGGCAATGGGCTCTTTGTTTTTTTTTTTTTTTTTTTTACATTCTCGATGCATTATGCTATTAATAGTACTTTTTTAATATATGAATTGTACGGGGAGAAATATCCTCTTGCTTTCCGTACTTCCTTGGGACGTCAAGCTCTCGTGACGGCGTCTATCTCTACAACACAAGAAATGGTTGAGCTGCCCGGCGTGGCTTTCGCTCCCCCCCCCTCTCTCTCTCTCTCTCTCTCTCTCCCTCTCTCCCTCTAGCTCAATCTCTCTGGTCTAGATGGACAGATCTTGCTTGATCTCTCTCTCTCTCTCTCTCTCTCTCTCCCTCCCTCCCTCTCGGTCGATCTCTCCCTCTCCCTCTATCGTCTCTCGCTCTCCCTTTCGATCTGTCTTTTTTTTTTTTGAACCAGTCCAGTCCCTTTCGATCTGTCTGGACTAGACACATTTTTTTTTTAAATAAATAAACTTATTAATAAATAAATGAACTTTGTAAATTCCCCCCCCCCCTTAATTTGAATTACATTATGGTTGTTATGGGTGATGCTATATTGTTGAACTTTTGCTTTAAGTTTTATTTTTATGTATGCTACATTACTAAAAATTGTAAAAATAATATTTTGTATGAACGTATCTCTGCCGTACCCGTATCCTAGTTTTTCAAATTTTGTCGTATCACCGTATCCGTATCGTATCGTACCTGTATCCCGTATCCCGTATCCATGCTTCCTAGGTTGCTCATCTATGACCTGGGCTTAAAAAAAATAAAAAATTTGAATAATAAGCAAAAGAATCAATAAATAGTATGAAATTTACATTAAAAAGTAAATGAAAAAATAAATTGAAAGAAAAATCAACTCACCACAAAATTATCAAAAGTTTGTTTTTGTGTTGGTGTATGTGAGTGAAAATAAACCAAGAAAAAAAAAAAAGAAGCAAAGAAACAGGGAAATCCAAAATGAGAGGAGAGGAACTTCTGAGACTAATAGGCAGTAGGATTGAGCTTCAAGTATTCCTTGAGAGCTTTTCTTTATCAACTGATGATGCAAGCAAATTCACATAAAGTAAATACATGGTTATTCAAATGATAGCAAACAAATAAATACCAAGAAAATAAACTGTAAGGCAAAAAAATAAACAATCGATCACAACTTAGAGCACAATTGTTTGGGTAAATATGGGGGAAAACCCTTTTCTTGAAAAATTAAATTAAATATAATGGGCATAGACATAGGTCTATTTTTTTTTTTACCAAGAATTATAAACAGAGTTAATATACCTTTGTAGAAATTTAATGTATAAAGAGAAATAGAGAATTGTATTATTGATTGATTTATATTGATATCTATTACAATGATTCATGATTCCTATATATAGAAGAGGGTGAGTGTGTAGTAGGTAAGGAGTAGGTGAAGTGGAGGTGGTAGTGGTGTAGTGGGTTAGGTTTAGTGGAGTAGGTGAGGTGGTAGTGGTGTAGTGGGTTAGGTTTAGTGGAGTAGGTTTAAGTGGGTGAAGTAGGTGGAGAGGTTTAGTGGAGTAGGTTTAAGTGGGTGAAGTAGGTGGAGAGTAGGTGGATTTTAACAACCTTCATTGTTCTAGGATAGAGATAGAGATTCCTTTCTACAGTTCATGCTCCATTAGGTGGTTGAAAATGAAGCTCTATTAAGGCTTTAGTGGCCTTAATGATTCAAAACAGAATCTAAGATCAAAACATAATATTTTGCTTGGAGAGGTTGTGCTGGAGTTGATGCACGCAATTTTGAGGATGAAGAATATGCCAGAATGGCGGTCCTCTTTGCCAATGTCACATCATCTTCATCCTCTTATGTAATGTTTGGTTCAATGGAATGAAGTGGAATGGAATGATCATTCAATCAAATTGTCTATTTCCATGTTTGGTTGACTAAAAAATTAATGAAAAATACATTTATAAATAGAATCGTCATTCACCATTGTAAGAGAATGATCATTCTATAAGAGAGCCTACGGAATAATCATTCCATTCCATTCCATCTCATTTCTATTAACTAAATGGCGCATTACGTTTTTGTGGTATTCATCACTAATTTTAGGGTTTTACTTTGAGAAAGTGTGAGCGTGATGATGGGTATTGGGAGGGGGAGGAAGAGAGAATCTGAGATGAAGAAGATGATTCGTGTACCTGGATTTCAAAATTTGAAACTCAAAATTGTATCTGAAGGCAGATAGTAAGAGTGTTTGACAAAATGGACCTTTGGATCTAGAATAGAACTAATCCAAGCAATCCAAGCCGTTGACTCAAAATATATTTCTAGCCATAGGATTGAATAAATCCAGATTGTCAAAAGTGATAGGTAGGACAAATGTCTTTTTCAAGATTCCAAAACTGAGCTTCTAGCCATTGGATTGAATAAATCCTGATTGTCAAAAGTGACAGGTACGACTCAAACAAATTTTGTCGTGTGGGTACTAGTAAATAAAATTTTATGGGCATTTATAATGTTACAATCAAACTTTTTTTGTGTGAATTAAGAGCTCGCCTAGGGCTCCCAATAACTTAGGGCCAGCCCTGCTCGCAAGTTCCTATAGCTCTGTTTAACAAAGTTCTCTTGCATTGCCAGTAATTAGAAAATGAAGAAAGGAGTGCACCCTCAGATGCAATGGATATCCTATGTTACCCAGAGTGGCCGATTGATGCATGTTATGATGACCAAGATACACCAAGTTGGTAAAGTTTATCACTTTAGAGCAAGGCGGCAGATGGCTCAAAGTGTTGGGCAGATTGCCAAGTTTAAGCGGCGTTATGAACAGAAGGAAGAGGAAAATAAAGGAAAATAACTTCTTTTAAAATGGTTGGGGTGCACTGTTAGATTCCTTTATTTTCATATTTGGGATTAGCCATTAATAATTTTTCTTATTTATATATTTGATAAGCTGCTGGGTACTCGGGGACACATCTGTTCATCTGTTTAATCAGCTGATTGCTGGTTTTATTTTCAGAAATATTTTTTATTTTGATGAATCAAGAGGGTACACTTGCAGTTGAATGATGATTACGCTTTGATTTGCTGTGTTTAGTAGTTAGCTAAATGAAATTATTTAGTGCTACATCAATTGTAGCCCCATGGTCTCTCTCTTAGTTTCACAGGTTATTTTTGTACCTGTATTATTATTATTATCAAAAAGTCTAGGAGCAAAGAGGATGGAACACAGATTAGAGCACAGAAACTGTGCATCCGGTTGGCTGGACAACCGCCCGGACGACTGGCCAGAGCTTGTCGATTGCAGCTGTCATGGTGTCTTCCGGTCGTCCGGGCAGTGTCCGGTGAACAGTTTGTGTGTTTGGTTTCTGTGTTCCATCCTCTGTGTGTGTAGCATTGCTCTACTATTATTGATAACATTGTTACATACTTGAACGCATATAAACAAAATCTTTTTGACTTGTTTCTTAATTGATTTTCAATTTGAGAAGTTTCATATTCTTAACAATTTATAGGAACCCAGGGCAGTAATTAAGCCACGTGGCAGTGGATTTTTTTAAATTTATTTTTATTCTTTTTGGTTATGAGGAAAGCAAAAAGAAGGAAATGTGGTGGAAAACAGGGACACTCTGTACTGTTCATCTGTGTTGCCATGTTCAGTTGCTATGATATTGTTATCTAGCTTTGTTTAGGAGATCTTCTGAGATTTAGATCAACCCTCTCCTACTGCATGCTGCTTTTTCCAATAGATCTGTCACTCTGCTTCATTTCTCTCTGCAAACAAATCTTGATTATTATTTCTCGCTGCTCATGTTCGGACAAGATGCTTTTTGCCTTTCTTTTTTCTCGTCAGTAATTGATTACCAAATCTAAGGTTATTCCAAGTATTGCATGAATTATTCACTTCAAGTTTTCAGTGGTTTGGTTAACCTAACAGGTTATCACCAAGGCATGCTGTATGTATGTAGTCTGGTTTTAAGGATATTCGGACTGCAAATGACTAATTTTGTTTCTGGTTCTCTTTGAAGACTGATTCCTCAATTGATTTTTAAGTCATTAAAAGGATTACAAAAACTTGGAACTGAAAATATACTCTGCTGTCATATGAAAGTCTTGACCCATGACCTCAAAAAATTGACTTACATGATTTGGTTTTCAGTAGTGCATATTTGATTTTGTTTGGTAGAGTTGAAGTCTTGATTCAAGACCTCAGCGGATCGATCTCACAATTCATCTCACTGCTGCATAAGTCAAATTATTCAGTATTTTTATTGATATTATTGTCCCAACACGTGCATAATGATGGGTCTCACATTTGTGTGGTTTTAGGTGCTGTTAAGAGTAATACCGCTGAATAATTTATTCAGTTCAAATTTCTCTAATGATGGTTCATCGTTATTATGTCAAGAAATTCAAAGGAGTACAGCGTTTCAAGTGTCTCAAATGATGATTTTCATATTAGGAGCTTCATCTTATTTTGTTCCCTTAAATTTGTAAGCCTTTTTGTTCCCATTTTGTTGTAAAAATTTCAAAATAGATACCGCAATGGCTCCTGCAATGCAGAGGGGAGATCTATTTCTTTTATGTGGTAATTATACATCAAACTCAACAGGTAATGAACGGCCCTCTGTGAATCGTTACCTCTTCTACATACTACATTAGAGAAGCAGCTGAAACAGCATCAGTTTTTCAGTGCTCTTCCTCTCTATTCAGGGCTGAAGATATTTTAGGCAATCTTGCCTCCAAACTCGACAGTGGGAAGAGAGACGATTTTAAAGTGGTGTGCTGGTCGTACATCAACCAATACGTGTGCGTGCTTCCGTAGGCAGCAGGTTTAGCTTCAATGGAGTCTGCAATCAATCAGAAGATAAAAGGAAATTTATGCACCCAACCCAACAAACTGATCTATAAAACCAAATAGACAATTAACCAGTACAGTAGGCAAGTTTTTGATGGCATTAGTATTACAGCGAATGCTAAATGCATTCATGTCGTAAAATATGCTTAGTATCTCACACACAAAACAATACAGTACATGCATTATGTTGTCAATATGTAATTTGTTATGTCCACGTTCTCATGGGACTTGGTTGTTTCTCCAGGCTTCAGTCTGGAATAAATTCTACACTAGCTCCCGAGTATCAAAAGTTAATACAAGGAAAGAATTCCACAATGCAATGACAGATCCCAGAGTTTATTAAAGAAGCACTTGAGAGAGAGAGAGATGTCTTAATTCCTGCTTCCATTTTGATATTAGAGGGGTCTTTTGGAAATAATGGTAAAAAGTCAGCTTTTTTAGCAAAAAAAGTCAATTTTTTTATCCAAAACAACCCAGCTTTTTACCAACTTCTCCAAACACCACAGAGTGTATAACCAAAACAACCCAGCTTTTTACCAACTTCTCCAAACACCACAGAGTGTATAACAACTTGGGTACCACAGGAGATGAATTTTATCTTAAGCCAGTTAGTTCAATGAAAAATGGTTGGGAGTACTAATGATGTGGCAATAGGCGTCTTGTTTTTTTTTGTTTTTTTTTTTTTTTTTTTTACATTCTCGATGCATTAGTGCTATTAATAATACTTTTTTTAATGATATGAATTGTACGGGAGCGAAATATCCTCTGCTTTCCGTACTCCTTGGACGTCAAGCTTCTCGTGACGGCGTCTATCTCTGCAACACAGAAATTGTGAGCTGCCCGGCGGTGGTCTGCCGGATAGACCCTCCGACGATCAAGTCAGACCATTGGAGGAAGAAGAAGGCTATCAGAGAGAGAGAGAGTGTTAGTGATAGAGTGAATTTTTCATACCTCTAAAGTTCCTCTTTCCTTCTATTTCTAGGCTGGCCATGCAGTCTCAAGATTGTGCGCGTACTATCTCTGTTGTCCTTCCCTGGACAGGTGACAGTGCTCGCCGCTCACCACCTTACGTGTGTAAAGGCTTAGTCCTCCTACCAGTACGCGCAGAACTGTCCAACGGTATTGATGCGTGCGTGGAGCAGATATCCTCTCCCTCACGCCATTGGCCCAGGTGGCACACCTAACCGGAGTACCACGACCGGCCTATCCCTTGTGGAGAACTGTCACCACATGCACGTAACCGAGCTATGTGTCGCCGGCCTGCTCCTTTGGCAAAGAGGCCGAGGGGTGATGCTCATGACCGGGCTGATATTGACCGGTTTATTGTGGCTTACCAGTTCCGAGGCATGCCGGCCTCCATCCGTTCTACCTTCATCCGAGGTTATCTGGGATCTGTCCATCTCGGCTAACCGTTCAAAGGCATGCCGGCCTTCGCCTCGTCCTCGGTTTAGCCCGAGCTACCCGTAGCCCGGTCTCGCCACTCGACTGCGTGCCCTGCCAAATGTCTACAAGTCACAGCTCGGCCGGGCGTAGTTCACGCCTGGTCTGCCGATCTCCTTGACCGAGCAAAATAGATCCACCGGCCGTCTCAGTAGAGGAAATAGCGCGGCGCCGTGAAGTTTGTCACGACTGGCACTGTCGTAGCTCGGCCGTACTAACGGTGCAAATCTCCCCTCTCAATTGCCCCTTAATCCCATCCGAGCTAATCGTGATTGGGTTTATCCCAGTGACCGAGCAAACGGTCCGTGATTTGCACTATTCCTGAGTTGAGCATGACGGCATCACTTCCAAGCCGAGCATGATTGCGTCATTTCCAAACCGAGCAAGCCGAGCATGATTGAACCATTTCCGAACCGAGCATGATTGCATCATTTGTGAACTGAGCATGATTGGGGTCAAACGGCGTCGCCGAGCAATCCCATTTGATCGGCAATTACTTCAACAGTCTTATCAATGGTCGTACAGCCATACTGACAGCCGCGTTCCCAGTGCCACGTGGCCTCACGCCATTAGTCCGTACAACCAGCTGTCTTGCATGCGCTGGAATTCAAACGGCGTAGCCGTTTTGGCCTTTTTCCCCCCTCTTTATGCACAACCCAAGAGTCATTCGAACTCTTCACTGTCCTTCTTCTTGAGCCGAAAGCCCTAGCTCCCAGAATCCTCTAACCTCTTCTGCCATTACTGTCTTTGTGCTTCACCCTCCGTTTCAGTTCCTTCCGCAGGCTACAATCAGGCTCTCGAGGTTGCATCCACCCTCGCATCTGCCACTGGTAAGTTCCATTAGCCTTCCTCGCATTTTCTATTTTCATTTCTCGAATTTGTTGTACCTGTTCTTTATTTTCGTGCCACTGTGCTCCGTGTCCTCTGCTTGGGACCTTTAAGGCTCTTCCTTTTTAGTCCCAATAATGCCACACCTTAGAAAAACTGGAACTGGTGGAGTGGAGGGGGCCTTCGTGCCCCTTGATTCACCAAGCCTCAAAGCCAAACCTCTGAACTTGATATGAACAGTTCGGATATGGACTGAACCGAGCTAAATGCTCATTTAGATCCGTAGGTAGAGCTATAGCCGAGCAAAAACTGTTTGTGGCCTCTCGCTGAGGCCGTAACCGAGCCGAACACAATTAGGTCAGTAAATAGACTGAACCGGGCCGAAAGCCTGAAATCTTTACTTGGTGCCTTGACCGAGCTGAAAGCTCGATTAGATCTGTCAATAGATTTGAACCGAGCTAAAACCTGCCTTGACCGAGCCGAAACGAGAACCAAATCAGGAAGGCTAAATCAGCCATGTCGTTTAGCCGAGGTAGAAGTTAGACCGGCCAGATACCCAAAAATCCTTTCACTGAGCAATTTCCAATAGGAGCCATGCAATTTATGCCGTGCTAACCCTTGGGATTATTTCTTAACAATGCAGAACAAACTAGGACCGACCAGGAGAGCAATATCACTGGTGGAGCTCAAAGACCAAGCAAAAACACCAACAT